CAACCAAGATCAGAGCGGGAGGGAGGAGGGGGAATGCGGGGTGCTCAGAAGAGGGGGCAGAGTTGGGGCAGGGACTTTGGGAAAGGGGCGGGCTTGGGGCGGAGCCAGGGGCGGAGTTGGGGCAGGGCCGGGGGTGGGACCAGGGCCCTGTGGAGTGTCCTCTTTTTTAAATGTTTGAATATGGTAACCCTACATAAGCAGAGTAGGTGCATTTGCTTGCCCCTCCTCCTAGAGATTTCCTGGGAAACCTACTTAAACTAACAGTTCATTCTTGTCTTAGCCCATTGTTGAAAAGAGTCCTTTGATGCACATAGCACTTCTCAAGGTTTACATTAGTCATGTCTCCTAGACTAGTTACATACAATCCTGCAATAACACATAACCATTTGTATTTTTAATACAGTGAGCTCCTAAAATACTTAAACTCAATTCAGTAAGGTTTAACTTAATTCAGTAGGGTTTGTTCAGGATATTGCAGGAAATTGCTATTCCTGTCACGTTTGGTAGAATGGTTTAAGTATTTTTTTCCCCAAATCTTATCTCATTTTGATAAGAACTGTAATGTTTGGTCTTGCTTTGAAATGTACCCTGATAAAATTAAAAGTAAAACATTATTTAAAGTTGTGTTGTAGCTGCAGGCTTACATGAGGTTTGAACTTCTGGATTTAAATAGTGATATGCACATGATATTCTGAGAATATTTTCCAAAATGGAATTTTGATTGCAAATGTTACATCTTTTTAAAATTTAGCCATACTGAGAGAGAATAGAAATTTAACTTCTAAACTTAGAGTGGTTCTTGCAACCAAATATGTAGTGTACCTTAATGTTCATGTAGTTTGTATTCCTATTCGTAAATCTCTTCCAATTCATTATTTTCTGTACTCGTAAGAAAATACACTCTGTACACTCAAAGCCGGTTCTACAGTAAGTGAAGGAAAGGTATTTAAGATGTTTTTACCATCCTCAAATCCAGTTTCAAGTATCAGAATAACATAGTTTGGGTTCTTTTTAGTTTGTTACAACATACTTTGAAAAAAATATATAATTAAACTCCCCCTAAGTCCCCCCACCCCAAGAAATTTCATAGAATCATAGAATATTAGGACTGGAAGAGACCTCAAAAGGTCATCTAGTCCAGTACCCTGCACCCCTGGCAGGACTAAGGATTATCTTCTAGACCATCCCTGACAGGTGTTTTGTCTAACCTCCAACGATAGAGACTCCCCAGCCTCCCTAGCCATTTATTCCAGTGCTTAACCACCCTAACAAGAAGGTTTTCCTAATGTCCCACCTAAACTGCCCTTGCTGCAATTTAAGCCCATTGCTTCTTGTCCTATCCTCAGACATTGAGGAGAACAATTTTTCTCGCTCCTTATAACAACCTTTTATGTACTTGAAAACGCTTATCACTCTTCCCTTCTCCAGACTAAACCAACCCAGTTTTTTCAATCTTCCCTCATAGGTCATGTTTTATAGCTCTTTAATAATTTTTGTTGCTCTTCTCTGGACTTTCTCCAACTTGTCCACGTCATTCCTGAAATGTGATGCCTACAACTGGATATAATACTGCAGTTGAGGCCTAATCAGCACGAAGTAGAGCCGAAGAATTACTTGTCGTATCATTTTTAGAACACTCCTGCTAATGCATCCCAGAATGTTTGCTTTTTTTGCAACAGTGTTACACTGTTGACTCTCATTTAGCTTGTGATCCACTATGACCCTTCCGCAGTACTCCTTCCTAGGCAGTCATTTCCCATTTTGTATGTGTGTAATTGATTGTTCCTTCCTAAGTGGAGGACTTTGCATTTGTCCTTATTGAATTTCATCTTGTTTACTTCAGCCCATTTCTTCAGTTTGTCCAGATTATTTTGAATTTTAATCCTATCTTCCAAGGTATTTACAACCCCATCCAGCTCAGTATTGTCCGCAAACTTTAAGTGTACTCTCTATGCCATTATCTAAATCATTGATGAAAATATTGAACAGAACCGGACCCAGAACTGATCCTTCCTCTTCTTCAAGTAGTGTTCCTATGGGTGCTCCTCTTCAGGAGCGCTCATATACCTTTCGAGCCCTTGATCAGAGATTTTCAGTTAGCGGTGTCCTTTCGACTCCAGGCCTCCTTGGAGTGGATGCCTCCTCATGCTGGATACGAAAGCTATTTCTGTAGTGGTTAAAATAAGTTTTTAAAGCTAATTTTTAGTTGTTAATATCGTTATATTTAATTAGATAAGTAGTGAGAGGATTGTTTCTTTGCTCTTTTCCCTCGGGGAGGCTTATTCTTTTCCTAGTAGGGCATGCCTGGCTCGCCATGTTTTAAAGATTACCTCTCCTCTCAAGAAGCTATATCTGTGAACAATGGCCACTCTGTGTCCCTTGCTTGGGGGAGTCCCATGTCTGACAGAAGTGCAACTTCTGCCTGGCCCTCAAGTCCAGGGCAAGGAAAAATAGGGAGATGAAACTCTAGACTGCTGCTGATGGAATGCTCCTTTTGGCTAGTTTCTGAGTCAGGTCAGGAGCTCCCGCACCTCCCCCCCGGTACATTTGTCTCCAGACACAACCAGTACCCCTTCTACCTCTGTGCAGTCTTCCACTAAGAGAGTGAAGACTTTGGAGGCTTCCTAAAAGAGGAGCGCAAACTCTCTCCTTAAGGAGTCAGCTCTGAAAAAATCCAGGTCTCCAGCAAGATCTACTGTCTCTGAAGCCTCAATCTCTTCAATCAATACCATTGATTTAAAGGTCTCTTCCAGTACCAGCTGAGTCGTAAAGTCTAGGAGCACGGAGAAGAGAGATGGCTCCGACAGGGCCTTGGTACCTCCTCTCAACAAAGAGAGCAAGGATAGACACTCTGGACTGGCACTGTTGAGTTCAGCCCAGATGTTGGTACCACTGTATGAGGCACCCTTGGCACCAAGCAAGCAGCGGTGCCAGATACCATTGGCATAAACTTCAATACGCCCACCGTCATTGGTTCTCTTGGATTTGGCAGTTGTGGCCTTGGCTACTGTTTCAGTACCAATCCTCTGTTTGGTACCACAGGAGTTCAGATATACTAAGGACCTCTTGATAATGGATGAACTGGAGTCCCCACTCCTCATTGGTACTGAATGTCTCTTTATACCAAACCCTGATCTCTGGACTACCATCCTTGGTATTTCATGGCTTTCTGCTTTTTTCTGCAGGAGATAGAGGAGGATGAGGGAGGCTTCCAGTTGGTCTCCTGTGTTTCTGTTCAGGGTTCTCCAACATATCCCTTCAGGAAACCACACTCCGAAAGTTATTCGGAAGATTGGCATCATTATCAAGGGCGGTGGGGACCAACCTTGTATACCATTCCCATTTCTGTGTGGCCTACCCTCGTGGCCATACTAGGGCACTGGGCTGTCTATCAACAGCAATTTACCAGACCACCACTGTCTCATAGGAAGGCCAGAGTTGTACAGCCCTCTCCTCCTCAACCTGCTCCTCCACAGGAGCAGATGTTTGAGGAGCAGGAAGCCAGAGCAGTTAAGGAGGCCACCCTTCAAGAACCTATTTCATCCTCATCTCTGGGTGAGGTGATTATG